ATATGAGTGTTTGATATCTCACCAGGAATGTCTGTTGCGAGATGTCAATAAGGTGCGTGCTTTCATCAACTGCTATTCAACAATGTACTCTAATGTCTAAAAAATCGAGCTTTTGAAAAAGTCTTTCTTCCTGGAGATATTTAGCAGGACTACGAGTGAAAGTCAACTGGTTGCAGGCTTGATTATGCCTCAAGTGGACTGCTCTGAGGATAACGAGCCTCGAAAACGCCATCGTTTGGCTTCCACTAATCTGATGAGGGATGTGTCAAGACGAGTGGACTCACATACCTCCAAATTCTGCCCACTGAGATGCTGTGGATGCAAGAGCGAATGCAGATAGATGTGCCAAGCACTCAGGGCAATGTCAGCTGACAAGCGTGCATGCACACACCTACGTATGCCTATCGATTGTCGCGGATTCATCTCCTTGCCTGCCGCCTTAGTGCTGAGGCTGTTGCTGCCATGCATGCATGCGTGCGTGCATGAGTGGGTGCGCGTGCACCTTTGGCAGCTTTACCTTCAATCACAGCAATCCGTTTTTTGATCCCAATTTGTAGTGACTGAGGCAGGCCTCAAATTTTCGCGCCAGACTGTCTACAAACACACATCGTATGTGGATCGGCATAACCAAAATGAAAAACACACTCGCAAAAGTTTTATAAAACGCATTCTTTAACGAGGTTAATGGAACTGCCAAAGTCAAAGGCATATGAAGTATAAAACCATATGTTGCAATCGGAGTTTGGTTAATGTGGGTTGTGTGCCTTTTTGGTAAGTGTAAGTGACTTAGAGGAGATATCATGCAATTTGTTGCTTGTGATATTTGTGCAGACTCTTTGACCGGTGTTGGTCAGCATTAATCTTACCCACATCGCAATGGCCTGTTTGCAACAAGACTCGGTGCTTCTGTGTGCAAAGCATACGTGTATACAGGTTAAGAGTGCAACATCCTGGTAACATAACAATTTTTTCATCTGCTTTTCATCATAAAGTGTTGTTGACAGAATTTCGTTGAGCTCCATACGCTGATCATATTCTGAAGTCTGTATGTAAATATGCACAGCACGCCAAAAATATCCTCTCAAC